AAAAAAAAAAAAGAACCTCCAGATAGGAACCAGTCCTGCCTTGATTTTAGCCCAGTAAGACCATGCTGGACTTCTAAATTACTATATTTGTGCTGTTTTACACTGTTAAGTTTATGGTAATTTGTTACAGCCAGACTAGAAAACTAATACAAACACATAATAGATGCTCAACATTCATCTGTTGAATAATGAATGAAATCACAAAAATCCTAGGCCTATAGACAAATGACAGATAAATGATAGATAAAATGGTAGATCACTCACAGAATCCAAATGGCCAGTAAGCCATTGAAAACATCTTCAACCTCGCTGATACTGAACAGATGCAGGTCAAAACCTATCAAATTAGCAAAGACTACTGTGATCTTTTGGGGTCCTACCCACCAAGCCATCCAGAAGGGTACTTAGGGCTTTTCCTTTGGGATGATTGTGCATTTACTTCTCAATACCAAATTGGGGGCAGATGAGGCAGTTTAATCCATGCTAAAGCTCGGTTGTTTGCTGTAAAGGTTTTTACAGCTGTGCTTGCTTTATGAGGAAATGAAAACCTCTGGAATTGGGCCAAACATTCCTGAGAATTACCAGTAAAGGTCTTGGCAGTTATCTAGACCAATATAAAACTGTAAGTAAAATGGTCATGATCCAAGTATGTTGGAGTTTTATAAGCTGATGTTTACACACACACACACACACACACACACACACGGTCCCTGAAAAATAAAAGTTAAAGGAAAAATAACAACAAAAAAGACTTCATTCTCTTCCTTACAAGTATTCTTTACTAACTGCACATTTTACTGAAGATAGAAGATGGTGTATGCTTTTCTTATGTTCCCCAGGGTCCTCCTGTAACATTTAATTTTCCATTTCTGTTTTTATGTAATTGATGCTTTGTTTATATAATACTAACAGACTCATCTGTACCTACATACTATAAACTTCACTGCAAGATATTTAGATACAAAGCAAAAAGGAATACAAGTCACCACCCTGAGTGAGCTCTATATACTCACATCTACTTGGGAAGCATGTGGGTTCTTCTGAAAGTCCCAAGCAGACTGATAATAAAATTATTATTGCATCAGGGAAATTACGGTTATGCTCAAATCTTTAATCAATTTTACGGAAACATGCAGACTCCAAAACATGTTACCAGATATAATTTTTGTAAAAGTTTGTTCAGCCTAAAGCATTCTTTGTAAACTAATCACTGCAGATACACATGGTGGTTGGCGGCTTAATAAAACTTTTATTACCTGCCTTTATGTACTTCTCTTACTATTTGCCAACTTTTTCTCTCCTGAGTTGCTGCCACTCAGCCAGGACAGTAAGTGAGACTTGGAAAAATGAGAATTTCCTGACAATGATATGTTCAATAATTTTTCATCTATGACATTCACACTTGTTACTCTGGTCTATTATAATATGAAGCAATAAGCACAAACTAAAAAGACATCAAGACAACTGCCAAACTAGACATCGAACATGTGTCCATACAATTTCACTGCTACATGAACTACACAGTCAACTCGGGTTTAGCTCAACAACAAAGTGACTTAACTCACCACGAGAAGTAGTTAAAGGAAAATCTAAAGCAACAGAGGTATTAAATCTCAGTTACTTGGTTCTAATACAATTGGAACATTAATAGTTTTTGTTTTATTATTATTATAGGTGAGTTTTTTTGTATTGTATGTTAGAAATATGTCCAATTGTAAAATCATATATGAAAGATAAAATGAGTAATCCAGAGTAAATCTAGCAGGCTATATGCAAAAGGTTATATTTAAATCAGTTTAATTTTACAGTATCAGTATTTGGTAAGGTCTCTTATCAGGTTCCCTTATCCATTTTTCTGTAATGAATAATCAAATACTGTATTAGCCAAACAAAAATGGTGTCAGGATAACCAAGTCAAAATCTTTCTCAGCATCACTATTGTAGTCTAAATTACTTTTGGTACAACTCTATGACTATCAAAAGTTATATACAATATACAACTCTTCACCCAGATACTCATCTCTGGCCCTGTTCTCAATACAAAAGGAACAAGTTTCCTTAGAACCCTGTTTTTCAAGCTATAGGTCAAGATCTGTTAGTGGGTAGTAAAATCAATTTACTTACCATCAGCAATGAAACAGAACAGAGAAGCAAATATCGACATGCATCAAACCATGATGAGGAAATGATTGTACTGTGAAACTTTTGCTTCTGTTACCTGTATGTATATGTGCACACACAGGTACTGAGTCCTTAATGTAAAATGAATTTCTTACTAAGGGGTACTGTCAAACAAGCTTGAACAACACAGCCTTAGTGGAATGGTTGTCTCCAATCTTGGGGCCAGAGCTTGGGCCTAGAGGTGTCTGGGGCACGCATTCATGAAGGCTTGAAGCGGGTAACCTTGAACAGTCCAATGGGGAGTGTGGAGGGAGGAGTTGATGGAGTAATGACAATTTGTGGGATACAATGACTGTAAACGTTTAAGAAATTAGTTATAGATTCAAAACATTTATTAAACATTTTTTCCCCTCCCCTGCCCCAGCTCACCAGACGTTCTGATTTAAGTGGTCCTGGATGCAGCCTGTCATGAAACTACTGAAAACTCCCCAGGTAATCCTATGGAACTGGGGCTGAGAACCACTGACCTGATTTTGTCATCTCTTCTTTCCGTTTGTAATTTTATGTTTCTATCTCATACTGTGGTCATCTATGTCTGTTTCTTCCCTTTTCTACTAGACTGTGGGCTCCAGATGGGCTTCCAAAAGATGCATGTGGCCTTTCACAACTCAAGGTGACTCCAAGTGCCCATTGCTGATGGAAGGAGCAGAGTCGCACCTTACTTGGGATTTAAGTTCTATAGTCAATGCTTACAGCACCAAGAGTCAAAATCACTCTTTACAACCCCTCAGGAAGGTGCTTCCCTAGAACCTGGTATACCGTCTCCTCATCACCATCCACACAGTTTCCTCCTGGGCTGCAACAGAAAGCTGCATCCTCCACCAGGCACAGAGGAAGTAGGTGGCTTATGTATAGGGAACACCTTGCATAAAAAAATGCACATTGAAACATGCACCTCACCCTCAGCACAGCACGATGCTCACACGTGAATAGCCCACAGGAACCAGAGTGACTGACCCTAAAGGAAATACACATCTTCCATTGCACACCCACTCCTGAGCATATGGTCCTCACATCCACCAGTGGGTGGAATCACCCACACCATTTCAACTTTTTTTTGGTCAAGGATATAGAGCTGAATCCATGTCATTGACTGTACGAGCAATGTCCCTCTGCTGCACAGTTATATCCAGTGCAAGCAGGTCCTCCCCTTTTTTCTACCTCCCTGCAAGTGGCTGGCCCAGCCTCTCTCCTTTACTGTCCTCCCTTCCCTCGCTTAAAAGCTGACGTTCCCTAGGACTCTATCCTTGGCACTTCTCATTAACTCTTCTCCCTAGGGGCATTCAGCCTTGCTTAGGACTCTTCAATCTGTACAAACAACTATCAGACCTTCCTCCCCAGTTAAAAGAGATGTGGCTTTACAGGGTTCTCTACTTTTGTTCTGAGGGGTATGGAAGGAGAGAAAGACCTCATCTAGGCTTTGAGGGCAGCGCTTGCAGGAAACAAAGGAACACGGTAAGTGTGCAATATTTTTTTTTGAATAAATGCATAATAATAACAATAGGACTTCCATCAGCTTCCAAGGGGCCCTGCCCACCTCTCAGATATATTCTGAGGCCTCCATTCCACCTGCTCATCTGTGATACCAGGCCAGGCCTTTTACCACACCAAGCCACACCAAGGTCAGCACTGCTAACAGGTCTTTAATCTATTACTGCCTGGCCACACTCCAACACTGCTCCAGGATGGTGGGAAGGAATGAAGCTGTATTGCCAGGTAGGCCACACCAGCTCCGAGTCTGAGAAGCAAGGGCTGGGGTCAGGCTGGGGCCTTGGCAGAAGGCTACCGGCCCCAGGTGATGAGGGAGTTGCTGGCCTGGGCAAGCTCAGTGATGGACACTCGGCCTCGTTGTCGAATGAAGTTGGCCATGGCAGCTAGCTCCTCTGGGGTTATGTAGATGAACTTGCCCCGGTCGTCAATCACACCTGTGGGGACATGTAGGCGGTGGGGCTGAGCCCTCTTGGACCCACCCCACCCAGCCTGAGTATGCCCACCCACTCCCTCACAACTGGCTCTGAGCCTTCCAGGTTTCCTGCCTGCCTGGCCTTTCCTGGCTGCATCCAACCCTGGCTAGACAAGTCAAATCAGGCTTTCCTGTCTGTCCTCGTCACCCTGCAGCCATCCCTAGGCCTCAGCATGGCCTCCATATAACTGCGTCCAACCACATCCACTGAAGAATCCACTCAATGCCCCTCCCTACACAACCCTCCCTCCACACGGGATGGTTATCCTGCTTCTGAAACAAGTCCCTGCAGCCCCCTGTGGCTACACACTCCCCAAGGATTGATTCTCATCCTCTCACCTGTTAGAGTCCCCTCAGCCAGCAGGTCCTGGATGCGGTTTATGGTGTCCTAGAAGAAGAATAATACCCAGAACAAAGATAGGTGCTGTCATACCCACACAAAACACCCACAACTTCTCTCCCACTACCCCCAAATCTCCTCCTCTCCCTTTCATGGCTGTCTTCCAATGTGACTCTGTGCTTCTCCTGTGGAAGGGCCCTGGCAAGAAGGGGCTCTGGTCCCAGGCCCTGCAAGACACCCAGCAAAGGCTCTTTCCCAGTCAGGAGGAGGGCAGTGGTGATGTTTGGCCATGAAGGCTGGGGTGGCCTGTCTGCAAGAGAGTTGTCAAGGTAAGGTAACTGCATGTGGGCTGCTTTGGTCATGCGGACTGGTAGAGTGATAGGGTTTGGATTTCTTTTTCTTTCCTGCCTATTCTCCCACCTAGTAAAAATGCAGGATTCCTGGGACACCAAGAGATTACTATACTCTACTCACTTTTGGTTGGGGGCAGGGTAGAGGGGGCATCAAGACTCTCCGTGTTTAAGGCAGGCCCCCCTCTGCCAGCCACACAGGCCTGTGGCCACACTCCACATAGCAGGCCACCTTCCAGGGCTTACCTGAGTCCGCAGGCCCACCTGGGAAGCCAGATCTTCCAAGAGCACAACCTTGGACTGCTACAAGGAGGGAGAATAGAGAGAGGCTGAGCTTGGGCAAACCCCTCTCAGCATAGATCCTCTCTGAGGTTTGCATTCTAATCTCATCTGTGCTGGGCGGCTGGATAAACACTATGCACATTTCTGGGGTACAGCCTCACTCCTCTGATACACACAGACACACACTAACTCCCGTAAACACACACACTCATAAACATATCCCCTGCTTGCGAGGAGGGATCTACCCAACACAGCCACCTACTCACGGGCCCTGTCCAGGACTGGGAACTACCCAGAGACAGACACATACATGGACATTGAAGCACAGCTGCCACCCTGTCCCCTGCATCCCAGCTGCATCTTGTCAACATCATGAACAAGTTGGAAGGGGAAGCACCAAAGAGAGGAAGAGAAGGAGTGATAGTCACCCAAAGGTATTTTTAAAAACTGTCACCAGGGGCTAGCCAGTTAGCTCAGTTGGTTAGAGCATGGTGCTGATAATACTAAGGTCCAGGGTTCAATCCCTGTACCAGCCAGCTGCCAAAAAAACCAAAAAACAGACAAACCAAAAAAAAAAGAAAAATACTGTCACCAGGACTTGTCTTTGCTGAGGACCTGCCAGGACAAAGCCCTGAGAAGGTGTGGGGACACATGGAAATAAGACTTGGCTCCTTCCCTTGAGCTCACAGTCCAGCTGCTGAGACAGGCGAGTGTATGACAAGAAGGGAGCAGAGAAAAGGCCTGACAAGGCAGGGTCTCTCGCAGAGACAGAGGGGACTTGCTCCTGCCTTGCTTTTGCTCACCGCCCCCTCGGCCCTGGCACAGCTATACTTCCTTCTATTTGTCCTCTTCACATCATAAGAGGCACTGAGCCCTCCCTTAAAGTAACATCGTGACCATCACTGAATGCTTTCCACATAGCCACATGCCACATGCCACATTCCAAGTGCTGCCCTCACGCCCTCCGCAGAAACTTCAGTTCCCGGGGGTGCGGCCAAGGGGCCATAGCCAGGTCCATACGTGAACCTGCCCCTGCCTTCCTCGTAGATGATATATGACTTGAGAGAAGGTGGACTTTTGTGCTTCTAAAAATTTTCCACAGCAAATGAACTGGGGGAGGAGTGACTGACATGGGCACACCTCCTCGGCTGCAGGTGGCATGTGACTTTTTGAAATACCAAACCATGCATGCAAACAGAGAGGCAGCTGGGCCAAGGAGTGGGCAAGCCTCAGGTGATCAGGCCAGCTGGTCTCTACCTACAAAACAGGGAACAGCTACTGGGCTCTCAGTGACATCTTGGAGCGGGAACACGACATCACCAGTGGTGCCTGAGGACCTAGTCTGAGGTGCTGCTGAGGCCAAAAGTGTGTTTAAAAAAACAAATGAACCCAGCCATGGGCAGAAAGGACAGTGGGCCAAGAAGAGCAAGCTATTCCTACACCTCATATAAACTGTGCTGATGCAGAAATGTTCCTCTGGTCTGAAATCCGAGATGAAAGGGCCCATCCCCTAGGAGCGAGGAGGAAGGCAGGTGGACTAAATTTCAGAAGTAAGCTATTCCTACACCTCATATAAACTGTGCTGATGCAGAAATGTTCCTCTGGTCTGAAATCCAAGATGAAAGGGCCCATCCCCTAGGAGCGAGGAGGAAGGCAGGTGGACTAAATTTCAGAAGTACTCCTTCTCCCTGCAAGACAGCAGTTCTGGGAGAATCAGCCAGCACAGGCTGGAAAAACTTCTAAGCTCTAAAAGAGTTTGGAGAACTCCCGGAGAATGGCACCTCCAGGGAGCCACCACAAGCGAGGGCTAGAACTGCCCTGGGGGCTCTGCCTCCAGTCTCGGTTGAGGGGAGAGGGATGCTGAAGGTGACTCCCTCCTCTAAATCCACCAGGAAAGGCTTCCTGGAAGAGGGACTCCAGGACCATGTTGCTGCCCCCTGGGTGGGTGGGGACAGCAGGGAAGTGTGAGAGAGAGGCTGCCCAGGGCTGCAGCCCCTAACCAAGTGTGGCAGGATGGGGAAAGGACTCCGTCAGAGGGGAACGCCCACAGCCTGAGGAAACAGGACCCTCTGGAAGCTGCAAGCATTTCTCCCTCTTATGAGCCCCTGGGCCCCAGGCTGTGGGCCCAGACCCTAGCTGCTAGAGGCATCTAAACCCTGCTCTCTTTTTTGGTGTGTGGGGGGAGATTATGCAAGCCCTGGCTCATGGCAGCCCCAGCACCACCACCCCCCGCCCCCACTCCCTCTGCACTCCTTCCCTCAGCCGCCTCTGCACCTCTGAGCTGCACTTGAAAACCTCTCCCCTCACCGCATCCATCGTGGGAGAGGAGAAGTTGCTTAGCAGCAAAGCAGAGCAGGACGTGCTTATGCAACCCAGAGCAGCAGCGGGGCGGCCTGCACGGTGGCTGCAGACAGAAGGGGCCACACCACTGCGCCACCCTAGATTCCAAAGGAAAACCATTCTGTTTCCCATGGAAGACCCAAGTTCCCAGTCACAAACACATGGCAGAGGATGCTTCTTTCAACTTAGTGGAGCTTTGGTGTGACAGAACTGACATAAAACACTCATGAAGGGGGCCGGCCCGGTGGCGCACTGCTACAGTGCACCACTTGGGAAGCGTGACGGCGCTCCCGCCGAGGGTTCGGATCCCACATACAGACTGGCCGCTCACTGGCTGAGCAAGGAGTGGGGACAACACCGAGGGTTGCGATCCCGTTGCCGGTCCCGGTCCGGTACGGGCGCAACACTGAGGGTTGCGATCCATTGCCGGACATGAAAAAAGACAAAAAGGAAAAAAAAAAAAAAAAACACTCATGAAGAGACTTAAAAACACAGTGACTCACTGAGCTGGGGATCTGAAGAGCAGAGAAACTGTCACACCTTGAGTGTGAGGAAGCCATCAAAGGCTCACACCTCCTACATGGAGCCAGGTCCTTCTCCACCTTCGGGTCAGAGAGGAAGGCCCTCTCGTGGCCAGGACCCCAGCAGCTGAGCCCCTCTGGGCTCTCTCATCCACCCCTGCGTGAGCTTGAGTTAGCCATGGCAGCCCACACTTGGGCCTGCCCTCTCGACCCTGAGGACACACATGACACGCACACACAAGGCAGGGCACTGACACTCATGCTCTGTGGCCTCTTACCTTAATGTAGTTGACGAATTCTATCAGGAAGCTGTGGGACTAGAGCAGCAGAGAAATCAGGGTGAGTGTCCCACTGGCAGGGGCCACAGAGGTCTGTGCCTACCCACCTACCTGCTCACCTGAGGGCTGCCTGCCTGTGTGCCTGCCCAGCCACCTGCATGTGCCACCTGCCCGCCTGCCTGCATGAGCAGCAGAGCTTCCCGGGTGAGGGTTTTGGGGGCACCATCTTCTGCTGAGAACAAGGACTCTGGCTACTAGAGCCTGCTGTTACTGACGCCCACCCGCCTCTCACTGCCCAACCAGGGCTGTCTGGGATGGGGTGGCCGGCCTTGGATCTGACACAGGCACTGGTAGGTGCACAAAGGGGTTTCCCAGGGGTGGCAGGCCCACCTGCTCCTCAGTCATGGTCTCGCCCACGCCCTCCTCCTCCACCACGAAGGCCTCCTTCAGTTTCAGGTACTCCTCATGCTCCCGCTGGGCCTGCTCCTCCCGGGCCTTCCTGAAAAAGTACAAAATAAATACCCACGAATCCATATGGATATTGAGAAATGACTAAGAAATTATTGATATAAAAAATGATTGAATAGACTTCCAGTCAAGATGGCGGAATAGACGGTCCCCAGCATCACTCTCTCCCACAAATCAACCGATTTACAATTACATAATAAAGCAACAATAGCCAAGCTGGGGCCTCTAGACCTCAGGGAAAGAGGAGGAGAGACCTACAGAGTACATGAAGGCGGGAGAAGCCACGATGAGAGAAAGAAAAAACTGCTTTGACCACTTCAAGCCGCAGCCACTTTAAGGCTGGAACAGCTGAGCTCACAGAGCAGGAGCCGGCAAAAGCCACAGCTGTGCCCTTTGGATGTAGTTGCTTAGAGGCAGCAGGGGAGAAGAGGACCTTGGTGGCCCCCAGGCCAGCAAGACCACTAATAGGGTTCCCGTGGACCCTCATAGGAGTGAGAAGCCACAACAACTGAAAAAATGGAGTCACTCAGAGGCGCATGAGTCATCACAAGGGACTGGTGCACGGCTGGTCCCACAGGAAGTGTTTGCAGCACAGGCAGTGGGAGAGACAGGCCCACCGGGGGCACACTGGGGCAGAGCAAGGACAGCTGATCTGTACCCCAATCAGCATAGGACCACTCAGAGGAAACTGGTCAGGAATGCAGAGTTGCATGGGGAGCAGTTTGATGAAAAGACTCAGGCCCAGATCAGAGTTTCTACACAACCCAGGTGCACCAAGTCTCTGGAGAGCTAGAAGTACCTATAAAGTCAATCATTATAACCTCTGCTGTACAAAAAGCCTTCCCTAGGGAAGCAGCAGCAAAGCAGCAATTTAGCTAAACCACAGAGCTCAAGTACTGGTCCCAACAGGAAGTTCCCCCACTTTAGAAGTAAGCAAAGGACAAAAAAATTAGTCCCGGCTCAGACACACTGCCAGCACCTCAGGTCCACCCGGGGACGTGAGGCATGGAGCTGGAGACTGGACCACCCTCCCCTCAACCAGACACACTGCCAGAGCCTCGGGGCCTGCCCAGGGACCTGAGGCATGGAGCCAGGGACTGAACCCCCTTCCCACAACCAGGCACACTGTGCCAGTGCCTTGTGGCCCACCCAGGGACCTGAGACATGGAGCCAGGGACCGAACCCCCATGCCAGCGCCTCGGGGCCCACCTGGGGACTTGAGGCATGGATCCGGGAACTGGACCCCCCTCCAACAACAAAGCACACTGCCCCAGTGCTTCAGGGCCCGCCCAGGGACCCAAAGGATGGAGCTGGGGACAGGACCCCCCTGCCACAACCAGGCACACCGACAGCACCAGGGAGCATGCCAAAAACATCACCTCCGTGTGGGTGGCCCACCACAGCCACCACAATAACCATGGCTGCTGTGAAAGCAGGTAGATGCCACAACCACCATGCAGATGGTCCACCAGCCACTGGAGTGCATGGACACAGGGAGAGTCACCAGCAGAGACCAAAGAAAAGAAGAGGATCTCTCTCTGCACAAAGCCCATCCCAGAGTGACAGAAAAAACATCTGCTCTACGATAATATTGGGGGACTAATCACACCTCTAAGCATTGAACAGATCATCTAGGCAACAAACAACAGAGTAACCATTACTCTTTCAAAGGGAGAGAAGAAATCTGGGGTAATAAGAGGGGGAAGGGGGGAGGAAGGGGGGAGGGGGTTGGGGTGAGATTGGACAAGGGGCATAAATAATAAGTATGATATGTAACAATATATATGCTAGTAATATTGATTTGATCAACATATCTCAACGTTAAACCCAAAAAATATGTATAATCAATTTTGATTTGATAAAAATAAAAAAAGAAAAAAAGAAAGAAAGATTGAATAAACAGGGAAGAGACAACTCTCCCATACAAAAGACTTCTAAATAATTTATGTAGATACTCTCCTCTCAAAGAGGTGGAACATAAGTCCGCACCCCTTAAGTGAGGGCTGTGCATAGTGACTTCCTTCCAAAGAAGCACAGGAAGGTGGGAAAAAAACAGTAACATTACAGTAGAAAAATCTGGCAAACACAACCTCAGCCAGTTGACCAAGGTTAATGTCATCAGTGCTAAGTCAAGCATGTACCCTTGCTATGTTGTGTTGAAGGTGGAATTTCACTTGTTGTCGTCTTCCTCAAATCCATAACCCCAGTCTAACCATGAGAAAAACATTAGCCAACTCAAATTGAGGGACATTCTACAAACTACTTGCCCAATAGTCCTCAAAACTGTCAAGAGCACTGAAAACAAGAAAAGTCTGAGAAGCTGTCACAGCCCAGAGGAGCCTAAGGAGACATGACAATTAAATGTAACATGGTATCCTGGATGGGACCCTGGAAAAGAAAAAAGATTCTGAGGAAAAACTAATAAAATATGAATCATGCACAGAGTTTAGTTAATAATTATGTATCAATATCAGTTGTAAGAAATGAACCACACTAAAGTACGATGTTAAGAATAAGGGTAATGGTACAGGGGAGAAGAACCAGGATATTTAAGGTGCATTAGGCAGGACTGATATTCAGAAAAGTGAAAACCCTCCCTGCTAATGCCTGTCCCCTGCTATGTTCTGACCCATCTGCTACAGCACCCATGGCCAGGTTTCCTGCCATCCTAGGTCCCTGGAGAACAGGGCCAGTCGGAGGACACAGCCTTCCAGCTGGGGCAGCCCTGGCTCTCGCCCTTTACACCTCAGATCTTTGTGCTATTCCCTTCTTGGGAACTTCCTTCTCGACACAAAGGAGAACAAACGTTCATGAACAAATGTTTCTCTAACCACCTTTGTTGCAGTGGCCCCATTCCCTGAGAACCACCTCTATGTCAGGTCCTAAACAGATCCACCATGGCTTACAATGACCTTTAACAGCCTCAAGGCCCTCAGGATCCAGAGCCCCCTTACCTCTTTGACCTCTCTCCTCTTGGCCTAGTGCATGGCCCATCTTCTAGGTTGGAGGTGCTGGGGAGGTGCATGGGAAGCAGGCTGCCTGGTCAGGGGCCAGAGGTCATGGTCAGGGGTCAGCCTTACCTTCTGCTCCTCCTCCAGGCGAAGCCGCTCCTCCTCCTTCTTCCACTCTGCCTCACGCTGGGACTCAAGGCGTTTCCGCTCCTCCCGTTCAGCCTCCTCTGCCTGGAGAGAGGCCTTCATAGGGGAACATCCCCCATTTCCAGCTAGAACTTGCCCACCTCCCAGACAGGCCGGGGAAAGCCATGCCTAGGCCAGGGCTCAGACCAAGGCTGCAGGAGGCAGAACCAGCCAAGCACTAAACACCAGCCCATATGAAAGGAGCCACAAGGGGAGAGCCTGCCACAGGGAAGGCAGGGCCCCTTCCCACTTCCCAGAGCTGCACCCCATCCCTCATGCTTGCCTCACGTTGGGCTTTTCGCGCCTGTTTCTCTTCTAGCTTCCGTAGTTTCTTGGTTCCAATTTTCCCTGACAGGTGAGTTTCCACTGGCTTCTCGATGCCTTCTTCCTCCTGGGCTGAGTATGGTCAGAGCAAGACAGCTCAGGTCCTGGCCAGAGAAGACTGATGATGATGTATCCACACCACTCCTTGTCCTTCCCCTCAAAGGGGGACCCCCTTCCACCCACCTGCGAATGTCACTAGCTCAGCTCTGCCCTCCAGTGGCATCTTCCATGAATGCCTGCATGTGTGTTAAGAGGGTGGGGGGTGGGGGGGCCATGGAGCAAGGAAACAGAGGAGAATTTCAGATACTGCATAATAGTAAACAGGGAGGTACCAAGTTCCAATATCCAAGTGTCTGAGGATCACAGACACAGCTGTCCAGGTTTGCAGAGGTCTCTGATTTCTGTCTCTGGCCTAACCTCCAGGGAAGGACAGCCCTATGGGGAAATTTACCCCAGCCTCAAATCTGAACTCCTCCTCTGTTCTGGGCTCAGCCCCTAGCCAGGATTATCCCTTTGTCCCACCAGAGCTAGGCCAAAAAGACAGCTCCAACCCCAGTACAACCCCAAGGCCAGCTGAAAGTTAGAGACCCGTGGATGCATGAGCAGCAAGGATGTCTGACCTGAAGTCTGAGACAGGAAGAATGGTGCAACAGAGGGCCTCTTTTTGATCCAAAGGGGATAATCCCCAAGGGTAAAGCCCCAAATGCCCCCAGTTTCTGGGAAAGGCCCAGATACCCACTCCTCAGGCTCAAGCCAGCTGTCAAGTACTGGAGAAGAAACATTCTTTCCTACAATCCTAAGGGTTCTTTTGGGATCCCAGCACTGGAGATATGGAGGACTCTGTGTCAGCTGAATGTCTCTATCTCCAAACCCTTCTTCTGGGGTTACAAGTGACCCCACTCCAGGAAGAGGGCTGGAAAGGGGTGGATTGAGGAACTCTGGGTCAATGTGAAGACCTTTGCCCTGCTGGTTGGACATGGAGAACCCAGATGAAGAGGGAGGTGGCCCAATGGAATAGGGGTCAGGGCCCAGACTGTTGGCCCCAAGACCAAAGACCAGGCCCCAAGTCTCCCCTTACACCATCCTGTGGATCCCAGATGTCCCTCCCCCAGTGTGGCTTCGCAATCTACTCCCCCACCTAGCGTTGGGGACCCCATCACCCCTCTCCAGTCCAGCCCCCTTCTCCACCAGGCTGGGCCTCTCTCACCGGGGATGACAGCTTCCTCCTCATTCTCATCCACTTCTGCCCAGGCCACCCGCTGGGCTCGACGCTGGGCCTGTAGGCGGCTGCCCAGGTCCCTCCGGCGCCGAGGCCTGCCTCCAGCTCTCTGCTCCTCTGGCTCCAGGGGCCGAGGCTGGACCATCCGGCCTGCTACTACTGGCTCCTCCTCATTGTGCAGTGGCTCTTGGCCAGCTACAGGGAAAAGAACGATGCTGCTGCCAGGCAGCCCATCAGCCTGATGGGAGGGGAAGCAGCATCCACGAAGCCTAACCCGCCTCTGCTCAGCCTCCTTCTAGACTCTCACTGCCCACAGCACAAAGCCCCAACCTCTCACTCTGACCATGAAGGCCTTTACAACACAGGCCCTCACCCCTTCCCTCCTACCTATGTTGATACTTTTCTCTCCCCTCAAGGCCCCCTTTTCCAGCTGACCTGTTAGGAGACTCTCACCCTAAGTGTACAGATCTCACTGAATGCCCACTGCAAGGTTACATTTATTTCTTGCCTAACACCACCTGCCCTGGTTTTATCTGGAATCCCAACCACAGAGTACACTTCTCCAGCGGAGACTGAGTCTCCCCTCCCAGCAAGAATTGTTGGCTATCGGCCTTACCTCAGCTTCTGTCTCCCTGGCCCGTGGAGCATGCAGGTACTCTTTACTAGCTTCTGAAGTGAGCCCAGGGAGGGGCAGAGACACATACACAAACCCATATGATGACAAGAAATGGGGGAAGGGGGTGACAGGTGTATCTGCTCTGTGCCCTGGCGTATGACACGACCTTCTGATCGGGGTGCAAAACAGGGAGGAAAGGAGGCCAAGGCAGCAAGATGCTCTCCTTGGTGGGGAGGAAGAGGGACTCAGGAACTTTCCTGGAGCTGCCTCACGCTCTCTCCAGCTCGTGGGTAGGCAGGAAACACTGCGATGTCCCCTTCCTGTCACCCGCTCTGGAGCCAGCCTGGGAGGGTTGGGAAACCTCTCCGGCCTCCCCAAAAAGCGCAGGAGGTACGGCCAGATGATGAGGGGTGGGAGTGCGTGTCCGCCAAGACCTAACCCGTGTCTGAAGTGAACGAAGAGAGGGGTGGAGCAAGGATCTCGCCTGAGGCCGGGTGAACAGTGTAGGAGCGCCGACACCCGGTTTCCACGTAGGGGGGCCTAGCTGTGGATCCCCAAGGGTCCCCAGTCGCGCGTACGTAGCGCATGCGCGCGGCCTGCCTGACGCGAGCCCGAGATCCTTGTCAGCCCCGCAGACACAGTAATGCTTTTTGGCTTCTGCAATGCTCCCGCCATCATAAGGTCATTGAGCAAAGGTTAACAGAGAGTATGAAATTTTTGATATTCCCTGAAGACAAATTCTGTGCTCTAAAAAAATTCGAGATTATCAGAAAGCAATAACATTATGCAAAATAACTCATCCAGGCATTAATAGGCCTCCAGACTTCGGATGCTATGCTGAGTTTAAGTTCACGGTCAAGTAGATAAGCGGTAGAGAGCAAAGAGTAGTTCACGGTGCACGACTGAGGGTGAGGCCAGGATAAAGCCCCCGGCTTGCGAGCCCTTGCTAGAAGGAAACAGTTCTCCGAGACAACCCTGGAGGCGCCCGCGGAGAACGGGAACCGTAATAACTTCGTATAGCATACATTATACGAAGTGCTGCTGCCCGGCCTCGGCTGCGAGTCAGGAAGAGGATAACGCCGACGAGCAGAGCTGCCGCCACCAAGTACACCACGGGCGCCACCATGACGACGACAAGAACACGCACATCCACCCCTGAGGCCCGGATCTCCCAGGCCCCGCCCAACGCCCATACGGCCCCTCCCTTTTCCCATTCTCCGCCCACCGCTCAAGGCCCCGCCCAGGCCGTACTCTTCAAATATGGGCCTTAACTTCTCACTTTCAAATGAGTTTTCTGGTCTTAAAAAAAAAAGTAATGTTAAGTGAAAATTATTGCAAACGGTATGTGCAGTAGACAACATGTATGTTTTTAAATCACTAGATAATACCACATAATGTTTATGGAAACAAACGTGGAAAAAGTACAAAAAGATGCTTGAGAATGAATGATAGACACCAACTTCAGGATAGTGGTTACCTCTGGGGAGGGAAGAAGCGTGTTGAGATGAAAGGTACAACTTTGGCTATATCTATGACGTTTGATTTTTCTAAAAGGGGAAAAGAATTTAAATAAATTGTGATATACTTTTTTTATTTGGGCTTGCAATTTTATACCTATTTAAAAATAAAATTAGCTCTATTAGGTTGTACAAGAATACGTGATTCAAAAAAAAAAAAAAAAAGCGATCCACTTTTCCATACTGAGCATTTGGTATACCTACAAGGAAGTTAAATTTCCCTTTAATTCTTCAGAACCTATAAAGAACTAGGGACGAATTATACCTCAATAAAGTTTTATAAAAATTGGGGACAGTATGTGAATTCAAGATTTTTTTAAAAAGCAAATAACAACCAACTACTTGGAGTCTGCTATTGCAGTAGTATGAAGCTTTGTGTTTAGGACCAATGGTGAGGGAGGGGGATTTGAAAAAATAAGGCAAAATGTTAACACCTTAACAATTGTTAAATATGAGTGCTGGGAATGTGGACATTTACTAAGTTAGGGATATTTCGTAATTCACATTTTAAATTATATTTTATATTTTATTTTTTGATTCTTTTATTTATTTTTAATTTATTTAATGTTTAGATAGAAAATTATTTTCTCAACATACACACGAAGGAAAACATCACAAACTGAATTTGAAGTCAATTGATAAGGAACAAATTTAATACACAAAGATTAACATCCTTAATGCATAAATAACTCAAAAATGAATTAGAAAAATCTTAACAGAAATTTGGTGAAGGACATGAGCAGATAAGTCACACACCCAAAAAAAACCACAAGTGGCTAATAAATACATTCTAAGATGTTCATAGAAATGGGAAAAATCTTAACAGAAATTTGGTGAAGGACATGAGCAGATAAGTCACACACCCAAAAAAAAACACAAGTGGCTAATAAATACATTCTAAGATGTTCATAGAAATGTAAATTAACATAGAAAAATGACATTGTCATTTCTCAAACTGAAAAAATATGATACTGAATAACACTGGTGCTATGAGAGAAACAATGTCGAAATCTTCTAGTATAAGTATAAATTGGTAAAACTTTTTTGTAGAACTGATTGGATTCATAACTAGAAATCTTTAAAATGTTCATATACTTTCAACCAACTATCCTGCTTCCTAAAATCATAAGCAAACAATCAAAGAAGGGCCGGCCCGGTGGCGCACTGGAGAGTGCACTGCTTGGGAGCGCGGCGGTGCTCCTGCTGAGGGTTCGGATCCCATGTGGAGACCGGTTCCCACTCACTGGCTGAGTGCGGTGCGGGTGCAACCCCGAGGGTTGCGATCCCGTTACCGGTCAGTAAAAAAGACAAAAAGGAAAAAAAAAAAACAATCAAAGGAAATATATATTTTTTAAATGTGGAAGGAGTTACGTAAAGGTAAAAAATTGGGAATAAACTG